GATATTAGAATTATAAGATTATATTAATATTTAATTATATTAATTATTATATTATTATTAATATAATAAATATAATTATATCAATATAATATAATGTAATGATATTATTTTAATATTATTAATATAATAAATACAATTATATCAATACAATATAATATATAATATATTATAAAATAATATTACAATATAATATTATAATTATAATATCATATTATTAAAATAATTATAATATCATATTATATGATAAAATAATAATATTAGAGTTATTAATATAATTATGATATTATTTGTTACAATATTACTATTATATTATATTTTATTATGAGTCTGAATTTTAAATAAGGAAGATTGTAAATTTTAAATTTTATTAGGGGTATTGTAGGTATTATGAAAGTTTCATTAGGCTGCTTCTGATTTTAGCTGTAGATTCTTGAAAGATTCTTCAAAAAGCGCTTTTAAAGAGATTTACCAAACACTAAAATTAATTTCTGCTACAAGCAGAAACTAATTTTAAGAGGGAAAAGTAATACCAAACTAAACCTTAGTGCTGGTGATTGTATTTCATCCTACTACCTATTTTTAGAAATATTTATATATATATATATATTATTGGTGGGGGAATTCGAACTCTATAATTTAACTAGAGAGGGAGAAGTGCCGTTAAGGAAACACGAGAGATAATAATTAGAGCAGCTGATTGATATAACAATAACGTGGAAAATGTGTTCACAAACAACATAAAACTTATATATATATATATATTATTGGTGGGGGAATTCGAACTCTATAATTTAACTAGAGAGGGAGAAGTGCCGTTAAGGAAACACGAGAGATAATAATTAGAGCAGCTGATTGATATAACAATAACGTGGAAAATGTGTTCACAAACAACATAAAACCAGTGAATATTTGCGAGGATACTGTGTACTAATTTGGAGTTTAAACTATATTAGATTTTAATCTAAGTCAGTTTTGCATGCTATTTACTTATGTGATCAACCTCTAAATGATAAGTATAAAGTGTCTGGAGATTTAGAAACATATACTACTAGTATTAGATATATATACATACTAACACAAAGCTCTCATTTTTTTTTCTCCAAAAACTCCCCTAAAATTAGTAGTGCTGGACTTTTTTTTTTTTTTAAATGGATAATAGTGCTGGACATTTGTGTGAGTACTGTATATTACTTTGCTTGTACAGTTTCTGTTTTTTTTTTTTAAAAAAAAATGCATATTATAAGGCTGCAGCAGTCATTGTATCATGTGGATTTATTCAGGCCCTAAATTGCTTTGTATTTATTCTTCCGAATGTTATGCGAAGGTACCAAATATGTACTACTAGAATATACGCCATTAAATGCGTTTCCCTTTTGAATTAAAAAAAAAAAAAACATTTCCCTTGTTACAAAATCACCTGTCCTGTCTACATGTTTATAGATCTACCTATATTCAGTCATATACAGCAACAATTAGTTAATTATTGAAGCAAAGCATGCCGCACGGTTTGTACAGCATGCAACATTCTATAATACGCCAAAAACAGAATTGAAAAAGCTCCCCAAACCGCCTTTTCTTTCTTTAATATTCTTTAGTAGTATTATTGTTACTTTTTATACATATATTTGTGCATTGGCAACAGGCTGTAATTCCATTTCTAGTAAAATAAGTGAATTAAAAAATTGACAGTATCTTTTTTTCTTTTCCATTTTTGCTCTTGGGAATTGCAAACAAATTAATATTAACACAACAACTCCATCGATCCAATACCAAGTAAATAGTGAGAGAGAGAGAGAGAGAGAGAGAAGGATCCACTCATAATAACAACTCATGAAATGAGAGTTTTTTTTTTTTTTTTTTAAGAAAAAAATTAATGAAAGGAAAAAAAAAAAACAATTTAGGATTAATAATTATTAACTATTTGAATGGAACCCCGAAATATTATCAGAAAACCAACTCATGAAAAAAGATTTTTTTTTTTTTT